GTAAACAGACTCAAGAAACCAGAGTTAAATATTTCTGACCCTTTCTGTGATAAGATTCATATATTTTCGATTTTCTACATAAATAGTGTGTGAATAAGTTTCAGTGCATTTCGGTCTTACTTTTACATTTCCTAAATTCGAATTTCTAATCTTGCCTAAAGTATCACTGTAATAGATACAGTCAACAATGGCAAAGTAAAATTGTTCTAAAATATTTAAAACTCTTTATCATCAGTAGCAGTATTAGAAAACTAATGGTTTTCAGATATTATTTTCTTATAGTTACAATTGTATTAGTGTGTGAAATCTAACACACTTTTGTAGGTATATCAGCAAATTTTGCATACCGGTAATAACAAAAAACGAAATATTTGACTATGAAACTAGGAATCTGCAAATGCTATTTATCTTTGCCACATTGAAACACCGTAAGGTCACGCTATTGCAGTTGTGTTTGAATAATACCTTGTTTAATAGTACCTTATCATGTCAGTATTTCTGTAGAGTGATTACTTTCACGCCCGGTCATATCATTATACTGAAATAATGAAGACAAAAAAAAAGATGTATTACAATTTAATGTATGTTTTTCATTTACTAGATAAGAGTGTTTGCCTGAAAAAAAGGGGAGAAAACATTTCTTGTTGTTTTGGCTGGAATTATGAAATGTTCCCAAACCCGCCTCTTGAGTAATACAACTAAGAAAAATTTGAGTGTCTGCTGTTCTTGTTTATAAAAATGGAATAAAATATCAGCGGCCGAAAATATTAACGTCAGCACAAAAAACGTCCTTAATGAACTTCAACAAATGAACTAGAGAAACACCACAAAGACATATTTGAAAACTCTTATTTAATAAATGATTTCTAGAAATGTCACTGAACGAATGAAATCTAATAAAAGTGTTATGACATTCATTATTTGCCTTAAAAACAAATATGGTTAACTGGTATATTATATCATGTACTTAGGGACACGAAATGAAAGAGCTACGCACGGTGACAACAGTGAAACAAAGATAAACGATTTAAATAAATAAAAGTAGTTTAGCTTTTTTTGTTTGTAATATGTTAAGCTGCATTTGCAAAAGAAAGTCGTGATGATGCTAACAATACACTACAATTCTTTTAGGTACTCCACTGCATCTATAATCAACCACCACCATGTGTGACGACGAGGATGCGACCGCTCTGGTAGTGGACAATGGCTCCGGCATGGTCAAGGCTGGCTTCGCCGGCGACGACGCTCCCCGCGCCGTATTCCCCTCCATCGTCGGCCGCGCCCGTCACCAGGGTGTGATGGTCGGTATGGGTCAGAAGGACGCCTACGTCGGTGATGAAGCCCAGGCCAAGCGAGGTATCCTCACTCTCAAGTACCCCATCGAGCACGGCATCATCACCAACTGGGACGACATGGAGAAGATCTGGTACCACACCTTCTACAATGAGCTCCGTGTTGCCCCTGAGGAGTCCCCAACAATGTTGACTGAGGCTCCCCTCAACCCCAAGGCCAACCGTGAGAAGATGACACAGATCATGTTTGAGTCCTTCACCATGCCCGCCATGTACGTGACCATCCAGGCCGTGCTGTCCCTGTACGCCTCTGGTCGTACCACTGGTCTGGTGTGTGACTCTGGTGATGGTGTCTCTCACATGGTCCCCGTCTATGAAGGTTTCGCTCTCCCTCATGCCATCCTTCGTCTTGACCTTGCTGGTCGTGACCTGACCAACTACCTCATGAAGATCATGACTGAGCGTGGCTACTCCTTCACCACCACCGCTGAGCGTGAGATCGTTCGTGACATCAAAGAAAAACTTGGCTACATCGCCCTCGACTTCGAGAATGAGATGAATGTGGCTGCTGCTTCCTCATCCCTGGACAAGTCCTACGAACTTCCTGACGGTCAGGTCATCACCATCGGCAACGAGCGTTTCCGTGCTCCTGAGGCTCTCTTCCAGCCTTCCTTCCTGGGTATGGAATCTGCTGGTGTTCACGAGACTGTACACAACTCTATCATGAGGTGCGACATTGATATCAGGAAGGACCTGTTCGCCAATATTGTTCTGTCTGGTGGTACCACCATGTACCCTGGTATTGCTGACCGCATGCAGAAGGAAATCACTGCTCTGGCTCCCTCCTCCATCAAGATCAAGATCATTGCTCCTCCAGAGCGTAAGTACTCCGTCTGGATCGGTGGCTCCATTTTGACCTCTCTGTCCACCTTCCAGACCATGTGGATCACCAAGGAGGAGTACGACGAGTCCGGCCCCGGCATTGTCCACCGCAAGTGCTTCTAAATTTTTCATGAATAATCTTCTTCTTTTTATGTTCAAGACGGTTAATGCACTGAATATTTTAAGGTAATTGGACAACAACTTGACATTTCCGACTTTAAAAATAAAATATTGATTGAATTGGATTTTTCACTTATGCCGTTACACTTCTTTTGTCTTTGGAGTATAGTAATACTAAACTATATGTCAACATGAACAGAACATTAACATGATCTCTGTCTTCTGTACACAAATTATTGCCCAAACTTGACTTTTTTATATGTTGAACTGAGTGCACACACATACACACAAAAACAGTCCTCAGTTCGTATGGAGTGAGGACGTACTTGGCGTCACTCTGTGGCAGCCTGGCTCAGGCCTGTTGACCCTCATCCACCTGTTTTCCCCATAACTCCTCATCTTCATCAGGACATGCCCATACCCTTCCAACATGAATACAGTGCAAGGATTGATGAACAATCTACTACTGTTACGAAGGTGACAATTTCAACTAGAAAATAATGGACAATGGTAACGACCAACGTAGACCTCATAACCACTAGTGAGGTCCACCACCAACACCAGGCGAAAAATGAAGTGTCCCAGCATCACCAGGTAGGGAATGAGTACTCATATTAACATCAAATGAACATACTGTAGACAATCATGGTTATAATCAGAGTACGGTACATATAAACGATAAACGAATAACTTCCTACATAACCTAACTTAACCTGATTTAATAGAACAAATTTACAAATGTACAAATTTATTTCCATTGTGATATAGCTATGAAAATAAAATTTATCCCTGTATGGCAAAGTCAGTTGTCCTTTTGATGGATGGATATGATAACCAAAATACACACACACACACACACACTATATATATATTTATATATGTATATATATATATATATATATATATATATATATATATATATATATATATATATATATATATATATATATATATATATATATATATATATATGTGTATATATATATATATATATAGTGTGTGATCGATGAATGGCATACATGCGTGTACAGTATGTGTTGAAAATGCTGCAAGAGTAGAAATACTTCTAATAGTTGCTAACGTTCAGACCTACGATACATAACAATTAATACTATGCATGAAGTATTGGATGCTCCAGAGTCATGCAGGACCTCTCAGAGATAGTTATGGAGATTCAGGAGTCTAAAATGAAACCACAAGTAATCTTATATAAGTGCACAGTGAGACAACAAAGTGGGGGGAAAAAATCTTACATAGCTACTAACGGGTCTATAGGCCAGTGAAGGGCACCCTAGCTAATGAGCGGCCCTCCATCACCTCAGTGGGCCACATGAGTGGCCCTCCTTCACCTTAGTGGGCCACATGAGTTGGTCCTCCATCACTTCAGGGGACTGCAAGATTGAAATCTGGTATGTGCACTATGACACCATGAATAAGCTTAAGCGTATTTAATCCAGGTCCAATATTTCATAACGAATTATAGAAAATTTCTTCATTCAAGTGTTAATAAAACTGTTACCAAATTGAATAAAGACGAAAGCTAAGGTGCTTCGTTGTTTCCAAAGCACACGGTCACTTTTGTGTCCAGATTTCAGTTTCTAACTAAAAAGTGCCTGAGATGTTACCCTGACAAGCAAGAGAACAAACAAACCTACCAACCACTGGGTACTGTAACTCCCTTACGTGCTTCGATCGGCACTTGGAGAGGGAATGGAGCCGGCGGTGTACAACATTTATATACGCTCATTATACAACACGTCATAGGTAAGCTCTCCCATAACCACCAGCAGTAGCACACTGCCCTGCTTTTGGAGGCTGAAGTCTGAAGCGTGGATCATGCAGAGTGCCACACTAAAACAATAAATTGACCTACTGTATGTGTGAATCTTCTTATATCAAAGGATTAAGCCAAATGAATTAGGGAAATATTAATAAACATCCCTCAGAATTACAGAAAAGCCTAATAAAAAGAATGGTTCAGATGGTTCAGTCGTTGTGCTTCTTGTATGATTCGTTCACGTGTGTGGCAACAGTCAAACAAAAGCTAATAGTAATATTTGTAGATTTAATGGTTGTGCCCGTACCCTAAAACATCACCCTAGCACAGTTCCGCGGCGATGGAACTTAAACTTTGTGTTTTGAACCGGGCACGACTTTGCAAATGAAGCAGAAAATATGGCTTTCTATAATAAAATTTAGATTTTTTTTTAACAACGGACTTATTTCTCAAATGAGATGAAACTTAGTATATATACAGAGTAAAGATACATATTGGAAAAATCAAACCAATAATAATAATAATAATGATAATAATAATAATAATAATAATAATAATAATAATAATATATCGTCAACTGGTCCCCTTAAAAGACACTGAATTCAATTTGTATAAGGGGGCCCCAGTTTCCCAACCCTGCTATAAAGTATGGACATAATCAACATGGGTTTATTACATAACGGAAAAACTTTTGTTAAGCCACCTTGAAATCTTTTTTTTTGTCAGTAACGAAAATTAGCAGAGTGTAATTTTTATGCGGCTTCTTTTACAAGGGAGGGGGGGATATTCTTAACCACAGCTAAATGTGTCAGTGAAGTACGTCTCTGTTTGTGTGGTCGGTGCTATGGCCCGTTCTGCTATCCCAGCTGAATGCGTGGGAGGATATCCGAGACTGGGGAAAATGTTAAAAATCTTGGCGCGACTGCAATGCCGGCTTGGATTTTTATATATAAAGGTTGATTCGACGCCAAACGGCTTTAGTCACAAGACGACTCAACACGGGGTAGGTGTTTTGGTAAGCTCCCTCTTGCTGACAGGAGTGCTATTGTCGTGCTACTGGTGGTCACAACCGTACAAGCGATGCTGCACTGTCTCACTTGGTGATAAGTTACCTGCCTTCTGCATCGCATTGTGAACTTTTACGTTATCTTATCTTCAATATTATGTGTCTGTGTGATGAGACTTTCGGAGAAATACTTTTTGTCCGATTTGTTTACGGCTATCACGTCGCATACTGTGTTCTTGAAAATAATGTGAATTTAATAACAGTTTTAAATTTCAATCAACAATAATGACAGGACAAACTATATGTAATATTTAAATGAATTTTGGGTCAGTTTTCCTGAAACAATTGATTACTTGATCTCCCGTGTGTAGGTAAAACATATGTTTTCGACTTAAACTTTGTAAAGCTTTACTAAACAGTCACTGTCAGATGAAACAAAATTCTATAAATATCATCTTTAACATACCAAGTGAATTTAGTTTATAGCTGGAATATGCAAGTTACACTGTTTTCATTTTGAACACTAATGATCCAACGTGTTCTTGTAGCAGCAAATCTAGTGAGACAAAGCTTGGCATAACGGTCACCGTGCTCGCCTCACCAGCGAGTGGATTCGGGTGCCACCCGAGAACAGGCTGAAAAAAATATGGGCAAGTTTCTTTAAACCATTCACCTCTGCCTACCCAGCAGTAATTGGGAACTAGGACATTAATCGATTGGCGCCTCGTGTTCTACGATAATGCTCAGCCAGTGCAGTTAGCGAATTGTTCGATCCTCTTCGACTGTGCCTTGAAATTTGGTCATACAGCTCGTTAACTTAACTTAATGTGGATGTTGTCTCATACTTAGGTGGCCCTAAACGCTGGCCAGCATTGGATCCGAGGAAAGACTATCACCTCCTTTTCTCTCTCCATATATAAATGCTTGGTTGCCCCTCTTGCTCGAGGACAGCCGACCATAGGTACACCTAGGTGACAATTTGCTGAAAGCATAGAAGCTGTCGCCAACACAACAATCATACCCTAAGTTATCGAGCTGTATGACTTGACGCCAAGGAGTAATCCAAGAAGGCTGTACAAGTCGCCAACTGCACTGGCTAACCATAATCTCGACACGTGATTCACCAATCGATTATCGTATAAGTCCCCAATTACTGTTGGACAGACAGAGGCAGACGACGTACTGAAACTTGTCCATAGTTTCGCCCTGCCCGGGATCAAACCCGGATCCACTCTATTGCAAGGAGAGTATAATTATATATATATGCAAATAAATCACTGTATGAGCGCGTGATCCATATATATGCTGATAACCACATAGGAAAAAGAAAACACGAAGTTCCCAAGCGCTTTCGTGTAATTCACACATTCAGAGGTGAATACAATTTTTCATCCCTGAAGATGTGAATTTGACGAAAGCGCTTGGGAACTTCGTATGTTTTCTTGTTTCCTATGTTGTTATCAGCACACACACACACACATATACATAGCAGTCTAAATTCAAGGGAACTAACAAAATGGTTTTGTTTTCAGGTTTATCAATTGTAGGACCAACTCATAACGCACCACCACCATGTGTGACGACGAGGATCAGGTAGCACTGGTGTGCGACAATGGCTCCGGCATGGTCAAGGCTGGCTTCGCCGGTGACGACGCTCCCCGCGCCGTCTTCCCCTCCATCGTCGGCCGCGCCCGTCACCAGGGTGTGATGGTCGGTATGGGTCAGAAGGACGCCTACGTCGGTGATGAGGCCCAGAGCAAGCGAGGTATCCTCACTCTCAAGTACCCCATCGAGCACGGCATCATTACCAACTGGGACGACATGGAAAAGATCTGGTACCACACCTTCTACAATGAGCTCCGTGTTGCCCCTGAGGAGTCCCCCACAATGTTGACTGAGGCTCCCCTCAACCCCAAGGCCAACCGTGAGAAGATGACACAGATCATGTTTGAGTCCTTCACCATGCCTGCCATGTACGTGACCATCCAGGCCGTGCTGTCCCTGTACGCCTCTGGTCGTACCACTGGTCTGGTGTGTGACTCTGGTGATGGTGTTTCTCACATGGTCCCCGTCTATGAAGGTTTTGCTCTCCCTCATGCCATCCTTCGTCTTGACCTGGCTGGTCGTGACCTGACCAACTACCTCATGAAGATCATGACTGAGCGTGGCTACTCCTTCACCACCACTGCTGAGCGTGAGATCGTTCGTGACATCAAGGAGAAACTTTGCTACATCGCCCTCGACTTTGAGAATGAGATGAATGTTGCTGCTGCTTCCTCATCCCTGGACAAGTCCTACGAACTTCCTGACGGTCAGGTCATCACCATCGGCAACGAGCGTTTCCGTGCTCCTGAGGCTCTCTTCCAGCCTTCCTTCCTGGGTATGGAATCTGCTGGTGTTCACGAGACTGTACACAGCTCCATCATGAGGTGCGATATTGACATTAGGAAGGACCTGTTCGCCAACGTTGTCATGTCTGGTGGTACCACCATGTACCCCGGTATTGCTGACCGCATGCAGAAGGAAATCACTGCTCTGGCTCCCTCCACCATCAAGATCAAGATCATTGCGCCTCCCGAGCGTAAGTACTCTGTATGGATCGGTGGCTCCATCCTGGCTTCTCTGTCCACCTTCCAGACCATGTGGATCACCAAGGAGGAGTACGACGAGTCCGGCCCCGGCATTGTCCACCGCAAGTGCTTCTAAATTCCATATGCATTATTTTGATATATTTTATGTACTCCTCATTTCTGAGAGACACGTGAAGTATACTTGAGAACTGTGTACAACTACTGTGAAATGTATGATTGGTTAATAAAAAAAAAGTACTATTGATTTTTTGTTTGTCGTGTAATTTCATTTTATTACTTAGATATACACATGGAAGTTAATAAAAGCTTAATTGATCTACACCTGAAAACTGCAGGCTTATGAGAATGAAAATTCATATAGGGAGTTATACTCACTGTTGTGATTATCGAGAGACGAACGTTTGTATATCCAGTGTTTTGAAAATTTATTGAGGGTAATTTACCATTAAAGTAACAGTACTGGAAGGAATGGAGGATACTCATGGGGGGTACATGAAGTGAGGAAATAAAGCTGGAGAAATGAATACACGTATAGATGTAGAGTTTGTCAGGGAGGGAAATCGAGGACACGAAGCTCCACTCCAGGTTTGGATATATGAATATAACTTTAGTGATGGAACTTCAACTCTTCTGGTGGGAGGTGAAAATATTAACTAAAGAAGAAATCGTTCCTGGTTATAAAAAATCAATTGTATTCACATTTAGACTTATTAAACGTTTCAATCACCTATTTCAGGAACACAGAGAGCCCGAAAGAAGTGTATATTTTTAATCTAGTACAGTATATAATTATATTCAAAGGTACGTATGTATAGTAATCGATATGAACAACACAAGGACAGTATGCAACTAGTTTTCATTTCGGTTGATTTTAATCATTGTATTTTTTTTTAATAAATGAAGCTGGACGTAATGACATACATGATGGCAAACGCGAAGACACGAAGACGAAACAGGGAAACAACCGTATTGAGGTCATTAAAACTCAGTCTCTGTAGCTGAATAAAAAAGCTGTACAAATTAACCGGTCTACAATAGTGGCAAGTTGATCAATACCTTTAGCTCTAAGGGTACATTTGCTTCTGAATTCTTATATGCTGAAGAGTTAAATGGTATATTTAACTACTTGCCTGTTTGATAAAGAAATCATTGTATACTAATTTTATAATTGAAATACTCTCAGAAGTACTACCAGCATACGGAACTCTAAAAATGCTATACGTAATTGAAACTGTATAGACAAGATGAAAATAAAGAAATTACGATATATCTTCTCCCTCTTAAAAAGAATTTTATTCATGTAAGATTCCTGGGATCATTTGGCCAAAATTTTAACTTTCTTCTTTAACTTTCTTAACTATATACTAGCACATACGGGGGAGTACATCTAGCCAAAATTGTCTGAGGAGTTAAGTTATGGGTAAAGGAAACACCTGATCATCTAGACAGCTGTTGAAATAAAAAAATATTTATATTCTGTTACACAAGTTATTCGTAAGATAGAAGCAAAGGGTTCAATCATATACACGCGCCTTTCTCCATCGCATTAACTCTCATTTTATACAGAACTGAGTTCCGTAAAAGTGAGGATTTTAAGTCTTGCAATTCACTATGGATGAACACATAAAAGTGGAGGGTGGGGCTGGGTGTGAAATAGCAATATATGTGTTCAAATTAATCCTATGGCAATATTGTTGATTCAGTAATACTATTAGTTTTCAATCCCTCATGCTAAATTCCGCCTCACCTCATCATCATCATCCCCAACGTCAGTAAAATCTTGATTTTCTCTATTGTCACTGATGTTACCAGCAATAATCTCGTAATAGTACTATAAACTTTATGGTGACTGTTAGTAAGTCCTATATAAAATAGTGTTATTTTTCCATTTGGTAATTTTGTTTGGGGGAACATCCTCAAATAAAGTAGTTCCATATCGCATTGTTCTTAGAAAACAAAATAATCAAAAACAATACAAGGTTTAGTGTATAGTAGTTCCATAGTATTGCATAAACTATAAAAAATATCTTATAATTTTTAATGGGTTTGATTAATTTATTTAAAGCCTTTCATAGTTAGTTCCAGAATCCCTCACAACTCCTTGGATGTCATTCTTCAGTTTCTACTGAATAAGTATCTATACGCCTTCTCAATGCCAGCTTTCACTCTCTTGGGAGTAAAATATATCGCCTGCTTCTTACACTGTTCTCTGTATCTCACTTCATGTAATAAAAAGATGATCTACTTTTTTAGTTATTCTTGCGTCCGACAAATGAAGATCGTATGGTTGGTCGTAGAGTCTTGGCCAGAGAAGAGGGCCATGGGACAAGAGGCAGCCATGTGCGAATTGACGATAAACATATATAAGGTATGTTATAGCCGGGTGTGGTAGCAGTGCTTCTCGATGATGTTAATAATGCAACATTTGATAATCGTTTATACAACATCAGGAACATTCTTCCTTCTCACAATTATTAGTTGTAGTCTGATGTGTGACGTAACTTATTGTAGCTAAGTCTTTAAAGACATCAGCCGTTGAAGTACAGACATTTGATGTTGCGCCACATGAATTAAAAACTTCGTACCTTGAAGTCTTGATCGAATTCTCAAGGTTTGCGACAGTGAGCTTGTCTGTACAAATAGAGCTTCTACGAGAAACGATTTCTGCTCACACGAGTTTCTACTAAAGAATGAGAATAAACAATAAATGATGGGATAGTGTGTGTGTGTGTGTGTGTGTGTGTGTGTGTGTGTACCCAAGTCATTTTAATTGAATTAGCACACTTGAAGAAACACAAAAAAACCACATAAAAAAATACTGTTCCTTTCAAAATAGCTCACCGGCCATGTGACAAAAGAATGTCCAAACTCTCTCCACCTTCTAACACTTAAAACTGATCTTTCCACCTTGTTTTATACTTGCTCATAGCTCGTGTCATCCACCTCTGAATTATAGATTAATTTTACCTATCTTTTACTTATCATACTCCTAATACTGTACCTCCTAACAACCTTGGCTAACCTGGTCACCTGCCCTATCGTACACTCTCTTCATCTCTACGCTGCCTTCTTATATGTGTGTCTTATTCTGTGCAACTTTATAATCCCACAAGATATTCTCAGGGACATTATTTCTACTGATTATTATTGTACCCAGAGTTCATGCTTCGGATCCATGCAATATTGCCAGATCTTTGTTTCTTTTTTAGATACAAATTTCTCTCTAACTGTATGCCTTGTGCTTACTTCTCACTCTCATACACACACCTGAGTCACACTTTTTTTTAATACTACTTTCATTCTTCTTTATCTTCTCCTACTTCATCTTTATCTCTATTTATCCATTATCTCTTTAAATCTTGTAGTTAATTGATTTTCTTCTACATTCTGCGTCTCATATGCCATCACAGCTTCTTAGCTTCGACCAAATAGTGACCATACTTTCCGTGAGGGAGTTGTTCTCACTACAGCTATGTTGTACTCACGTTACATTCCTCTTTTTGTTCTTCTGGTCTAACTCCCGACTAGTCTCACAACGCTCGCTCGCCTCCACAACTTCCCACTAGTCTCACAACGTTCGCTCGCCTCAGCAACTTCCCACAAGTCTCACAACGCTCGCTCGCCTCCACAACTTCCCACTAGTCTCACAACGTTCGCTCGCCTCAGCAACTTCCCACAAGTCTCACAACGCTCAGCGCCTCCACAACTTCCCGCTAGTCTCCACAGCAGCTCGCTCGCCTCACAACTTCCCTGAAGTCTCTGGCAACTCACTCCGCCTCCACAACTTCCCTGAGAGTCTCCTGGCAACTCGCTCTTATCCAGCAGCTTCCCTAGTCTCTGGCGCTCGCTCGCCTCCACTGTCAAGTCTCCAGTTAGCTCACAAGTTTCCACAGCTCTCATTACGACAGTCTTTCTCTCTAGGCATATTCATTAATTTCTAGTACTTATTCCGATCGACTTTGTTAACACCCATTCTAGTATTTTTCTATTACCTTTATTCCGTTTCTAACACACACACACACACACACACACACACACACACACACACACACACACATTTATTTATAAATGTTGTACGTTATAAATAAAATTAGTAAGTCTACCTCCAAATGCAACGTGTCACATATCCTTCAATTCAGTTGGACCAAACATAATACACTATGTCTAGCAAATTAATACGAGAGATTATCATAAAACAACTTTGATTTAATTACGTTTGCCTCATTAAATAACCCCTCTGCGTTTAAGGTGTAGTAAAGAAAATATTATTGCTGATCATAAATAAGTGAAGGTAAATAAGCACACTGTTGGCCAGGTAGCCGGCCACAAGAGTTGGTCGTAGCCCAAATATTTCCATCTAACTTACCTTGGCGATGACTGGGCAGTTGTAATGGAGGATTGACTTTAAGCTAAACTCTCTTGGCATTTCCTCGTAGGGGTTTCCGCCATCATGTTCCCAGTTCCAAAATATTGTCTGATTCTTAAATTGTTCTATAAATGTTAATATTAGTCGTATATGATTAAATCGAGGATGATTTATATTGAGAATAATATTTTACGGGTGTAGATTATAAAACCTTTACATTATGAAAACAACAAGAGGCAAGGGAAACTATACCTATCGTTTACATATTGGACAACTTTTTTAATTAGTAAAAGATAAAGTTAATGTAATAAAATGTGCACCTTGTTTACTAACTACTTCAATAAAATGATAATAATTCACCCCTATAAAACAGTGAGTGCTCCCTTGAACGCCTAACTAGGGCAAAGAAAAGACGGCGATAGATAGGTGGAAGGAGGTGGGGGAATGTTTACACGGGAGGAATATTGCATAACACAGGTCAAAATAAAAAATGACCTTTTTATATTTAGTTGGATTAATTATTGAGGGGAGACTGATGTAGAGTGGTAGTGTTCTTATATTAGCTGTACACATCACGTAGTAAAAACAAAAATCTGAACGAGAAACTGATAGAAGGATTAATCTACGAGAATGGTATCACGTTTCCACCAATCCCCTGACTTATGTAGTGCAGGTATCTGACACTAAACAGAATGTTGGATCGACTTCAGATTCTTGGTTTTAGGAACTTAACAGAGAGTATAAAAAGTGGAGGTGGGTCTTCTAGGACTTCAGTCAGGTCTGGACTCAGCACGGTAAGCGCTGGTGGTGGATTTAGCTACACTTGCACGTGTATACTAGTGTCGTGAAACAGCGTGGAAACACTATGTGAAAACGGA